ATATTTATTTTAAGGTGAATTATATTTTAGAAAATGACGGCTGTATTAAAAAAGAGGGCTTTAGCAGAATATAGTCATACGATTCAAGTAAGTAAATTAATGTACGTTTTACGTTTACGATACTAATTTTGTATAATGATAGGAACCACCCTTACAAGTTCCAACCAAAAAGTTAAAATTAATAAATAAACCAGCAGCCAGTAGCCCCGTATTAGCGCTTATTAGTTGTCTCGAAAGTTGTAAGAATAGTAGAGAAGTCTTACGTACATTGCTAAGGACATCAGACAACTTTGAACTTTCTACCTCGGACATTCCAGAAGTGTTGAAGAAGTTAAGTGATCATTTTAAATTGGAAGCAGAATCTGCTGTTAGAGTGAAAATACTGTCACTTTTGTTGGATATTGGTAAAGAACCAAGTGCTGATATAATATCTATCATAGATGAAGCAATTATGCTAATAAAAAATGAAGTTTCACATAAGGTGATTGCACAGGGCATCAATACTATATTAAATTTAGGAAAACTAGTGACAGACAATGTATCATTACATTATAAATTGGTTGAAATTGCTAAAAATTACTTGAAAGATGTTAGTCATGCTGTTAAATGCAAATGTTTAGAAACAATTGGAGTTTTAATACCAGTTTGTACTGGAAATGAAGCTGATAAAATATTAGAATTGGTTTCATCATATTTTGATAATGAAGATGCACGAGTTAGAAGCCAGGCATTTTCTACCACCATTGCATTACATGAAAGGGGTATCAAAATTAATCCAAATGTTTATAAAGATGTGTGTAACTGTTTAAAAGATGATTATGAAATTGTAAGAAAAGTTGTACTCAAATTGGTTTGGTTGCTTGGTATTACATATCCTGAAATGTAAGATAATTAATGCAGAGCTAAAAATTTAGTTTACAGATATTTTTTAATATTGTGAATTTCAGTGTTGTAACATTACAAGACAGTGAACAGGAAATTAGACTCATTGATGATGCTTTCGGTATATATTAATGTTTTTTGTATTTAAATGTGACGGAACCTTTTTTTTCCTATTGTCACTGATCTGCTTAATTTAATCACCAAACCGAACATAAATTACAATATTTGCACCATTATTTAGCAATCGCTCATTAAGAGAATGTAGGAAAACCTCTCGATTTGGCCAAAGTAATAGATATTTTTGTAACAGTGAATAAAAACGCCCATACTTTAGCGTCTTGGATTACCTACGTGAAGTTGAATGTTATAGTAAATACTACAGATACTCATATATTTGTAATACGTTTCGATGAAAGTATTCA